TAGCTCCGCCCTTAGGTGCTTGCAGTTCTCTCCGTGGTACTGCTGGGAGTTGTAGTTTCCAGTCACTGGAGTAGGGGGCGGGGTCCACAAGACTGCAGAGGTCCTTGAGGATGTCCTGCCCCTTAACGGAAGGAGGAGGGAGGAAGGGGAGGGAGGATGAGAGGGGTGATGCATAGGCAGCTTGCTCCCCTACTGGACTGACCTCCTGCGGATGCCTGACCCCACCAGGGAGCAGACAGCCTGGGCTCAAGCCTGGCAGCTGTGTCCCTGCTGGGCTGTGTGCTTCTGACCCTCTGCCTGTGGGGAGGGCGGTCAGGAGTGGGCCGCGGGCCCCTCTGGACCCAGGGTGTGTGGACAGACTGTCAGGCGGTAGGGGGCTCAGAGGGGCAGGCAGCGCCCCTGGCTGCTCGCTGCTTCCAAGACGCATAGGGGTGCAGATTCCAGAAGCCACTCTGCATGGAGCCCGAGTAGATAGCAGCCTCTTCAGGAGATAGAACCCATCTGGAAGGCAGGGCCAGTGCAGGCCTGAGTACCTGCTGCTGTGGGGCGGGAGGGGGGAGTGGTGGTGGGGGGCATCCCAGCCTGTTTCCATAGCGTGATTACCCTTGTGCTCAGCCACTGCTCTCCTCCGAGCCCCCGGCCCTGCGGCTCCACACAGCCCAATTAGAGGGCTCCACTGGAGGGCATGTCCCAAGGGCCCAGCAGAGCCTCCCCTGGCAGCACCAAGACGGGCACCCGTGGATGGTGCCCGCCACCACATCCTGCACATCCCGGGGCCCCGAGCCCCCTGAAATGAGGGATCCTGCGAGCCAGCAGCTGTGGGGGGGATAGTGGGGCCTCAACAGCATCAGTGTGAGGGGCCTGGCGACATCCCAACTCACCTGCTCATCGGCTTGGGGGGCAAGACCCCTGTGGTGAGGAACACACACCTGGGTCCCGGGAGAGCTCAGGCTGGGGTAGCCCCGCGGCTGTGCAATGAGGGGGGTGGCCCCGGGAGGCTGGTAGGCAGGGCCTGAGGGGATGCAGCCACCTGGGCCACGTGGCGGGGGTGCATGGCCAGGGTGTGTGGCCCAGGTGGGGGCTGCATTTCATCAGGCTCCCCGCATCAGGGCGGCTGGTGTGGTAGGGGCAGGGCACGGCCCCAGTCTCGGACAGAGTAGTTGTTGTGGGGCTTCAGCCGAACCCCAGGCACTCGGGGCTGGCGGGGTAGGGGCTCCCCAGGTTAGGGGCTGTGCAGGGCCGGTGGCCTGCCTGAGGCCAGGGGCAGAACGCAAGTGGGGCCGGCAGGCTGGGCCAGGCCAGACACTCCCGCAGAGGTCAACCAGCCAGGTGCTGGGGGCGCCCCTGCTCCAGCGCAGCAGCCTGTGTGCAGGCCTCTCCCGCGCCCAGCCACCTGCCACTTCCCCTCTGCCAGGTGACAGCTGGAGGCCAGCGCCTGTCTTGGCTCTGTCCCTGCAGCCAGCACATGTCTCAACACTGTGTGAAGAGCAGGGGTGTCTGCCTTTCACACCTTTCAGCTGTACCCTTGTTCTGCTGTCCCCTGGGGACCCCGTGTCCCTGACCCACTGTCACCCCCGGGGATGACCCGCCTTCCCCCTCCGGTCTGCACACCACACTGTGGTGCTGCCACTGGGGTGCCTGAGCCCCACTGGGGGCCTCGGGGCACTGTGGCTGCTCGAGCAGGGGCTGACCTGTGGCCCCCAGGGCAGACCTCAGCACAGCATCTGCCCACAGAGACGCCCCAGACCCTGGCAGTGAAGCTAGACAACCCCACGGAGGTGATGAAGGCGCTCCACAACAGAGGGGCCCACCTGGACTTTCCGGCAAAGGGCGGGTTGACCGCCCTGCACAAGGCCGCCTGCACCCAGAACCAAGTGGCCCTGAAGGTGCTGGCGCCACAGCCCCGGCACCCTGCCTCCCCACACCTGTCAGCCTGGGGTGAAGGGTGCCCCAGCCGATGGTCCAGCCCCGCGGCGGGCTGGCCGACCCCATCTCTGTGCAGCTGCTGAGCCCTGAAGGCGTCTGGATCCTCCAAGACACTCTTGGAGCTGGGCGTGTCCCCAGACTACAAGGACAGCTACGGGCTCACCCCATGTACCACAAGGCCATCCTGGGGGGCGACCTGTACTGCTGCGATCTGCTGCTGCATGAGCACGGCCCTGTGCTGCCAGGTCCAGAACAGCTGGCACAAGATCCACTAGATATGCCCTGCCCTGCCCTGCCCTATACCACTCTAGATCCCGAAGCAAGCCCCCAAAGCCAAGGCACTACCAGGCCCCAAGCAAGAGGCCAAGCCATCTCTGTGAGGAGAAGGCTCTAGGGAACCCGCTCCCAGGAACACCATGACAGCCTTATTCATTCTCTCCTTCACCAGGGATCTCCCTCTCTGTGTGTCCCCAAGGACTTGGGCTCACACATTCGACCACCCACCCACGGGTCCATGCACCCAGCGAACACACAAACACATAATCACACGCACACACAGCCAGCCCTCGCCCATCAGGCCTTCTTCAGCAGACCCTGCCCATGGCACTCGGGAAGCCTGGGCTAGTGCTTCTGATGGTGCTGGCCGTCTGACATGTACTTGGGCCCCGCAGCCTGGCTGGAACCCAAGCTGTGCTCACACTTCTACTTGTCTTCTTTGGGAACAGCAAGCTTCCTTTTGTCCTTAAGGCAAACCAAGAGGACAGCCTTGTGAAGGCAGGAGACAAGGATGCTTCTCTGACAAGGGGCAGACGCGCACACACACACACAGCAAGGGCCCGATGGCCAGGCTGCCGTGGTCAGACACGTGTGGTGGGCTGATGTCTTGCTTTTGATTGTTGAGGATTCACTTGGGGGATCAGAGCTGGGATGGAGAGTAATGGCAGTGGCTCTGGCAGTGGAGTGGAGAGGACTCAGCAGAGGGAAACAGAGTGTGGAGTGCAGAGCTGGCAGTTCCATTTCCACTGAAGTCCACCACCGCCGAGGGCAAGAGCAAGGAGACAGGATAGTTCAGCTACACCGTGGGGGACAGCGCCCCAGGCCTGGGACTGGACCTGGTGTCCTTACTCAGTGACAGAAAGCCCTGAAGGCACAGGCAGGCCCAGGCTGACTGTGGGGCACTGGAAGGGGCCCTCCTCCTTGATCTCTGCCTGCTTGAACAGCTTTGCAGTCCCACAGTGCAAGCCCTGTGGTTGCGGTTAGCAAGTCTAGGCCTGGCAGGGGCATCCCAGAGCCTTCCCCAGTCACTGGGAATTGTGGCCAACCTTGAGCTGCCCTCCCAGCAGACCACCTGTGGTTTCTCTGTCAGGGTGTGGCTGAGTCCAATTGCAGAGACTTAATGTCATCTTGGGTGGTAGAGTGTGGTTGTCGTCCATGCCGTGCGATGCAGTTTTTGGAGTGTGCGCTGAGTCCTGCAGTTCCCTCCCGGCCAGGTTTCTTCATGGAGCTGGCCCGTCAGGGCTCGCGACCAGCTTCTGAGGCCACCACTCTGTCCGGGAGACAGAGGCACCCTTCTCTGCAAGGAGCAGGGCTCTTAGGGAAAAGGCCAGAGTAGTCGAGGACTTCTGTGGGGGCTCGAGCAGGCAGCCATACCTGCCCCCAAGGGAAAGATTTGCCGCATGGGTTCAGGCCGGCAGCCTGCCTTATAGATCTGCCTCAGCAGAGGGAGGCCAGTGCGGAGAAGCCCTGGCATTGAGTGATCCAGGCCACTGTGAACTGGTAGACTGGTTGCCCAGCAGCACCTGAAAACTCACAGGTGGGCAAAAGATTATATATTTTTGAAATTATCTTTCATTTATTCTCCCCAAAAAGGCAAGATTAGAACAAAACATTACTGTCGGGGACCAGCCCCAACTTCAGGCTGTTGAGAGGCTGACACAGGCAGGGTCTCAAGGTGGGAAATGACATAGGATAGGTGATATTCTAAAAACTGGGGAGTAAGGGGGAGCAGGAGTGAGGGAGACATGGGAATCGGAGTTGGGTGCAAGTCTTCCAGCTCTACCTTCAGCAGAGGTTTATTTTATACACTTCAGGCAGGCAGAGGGATGACATTAGCATATGAAATGGGCTGAGATTACAATCACCTTTTTGCTAAGGATAGTCTGGGGTCATTTTGACCTTTACTTGAGATTATAACATTCTAAAATCAATCAAGGTTAAAAGCAGTTACATAGGTGCACAAAGTTTAAGACTAATATTACTATAGTGGAGATTAACTAAAATAAAAGTCCCTTAAACCTTATCTGCTACTTAATGGGTTTTTGTTTTTCTACCTGAGACATCCTGGGAGGCAGGAAGAGGAAATTCCTTGCAAATCAAATCTCTGAATAGGAGACATAAGTGAATTTCCTTAGCTAGAGACCTGCAAGACTAGCCAGAAGACTTTTGTGGATTCCTTTGAGGTGTAGCAGGTAGATAAACTGACTAGTTCCAAAACAGGCAACCTGGATGAATTTCCACATCTAAAGGCCAGACAATAGGAAGTTTGAGCGATTCTTTAGAAGCTGAATAGAAGGCTAGGTGAGGTAATAGAATGTTAAGATTTGTTTTTTCCTCCATCCAGCAAGTGAGTGAGACTTTGCAAAAACAGCCCTTTTGCCCTTTTGCTTTTATTTATCAGTCAGTAGTCAAGTCACTTGACTTCAGAGGAATTTCTCACCCTGGGGCACTGCTTGCTTGTCAGGGCAGGCAGGTCTTATACAGCTGAGGCAATTCAATTGTAAGTTGAAAGTTGCTCAGAATATTTTGATATTACGATTATACAAAAAAGGGAGGTCGTAACATAAGTTAGCAGTGGAAAGTCTGATTTTTCAGAGCTTTTCCCGATCTACCTGGAATCTGTCAGATGATAGATGTTGCATAGCTTGTGTCACATTACTATTATTAATTTTGCTCTAAGAGTAACACCTTTTACATGGAAAATGATTTTACCCCCTAAAAGAACTTATTATAATCTGACAATGACTAATGCTTCAAGTTGTCTGATTCTTCTCCACTGCTTCTGAAAATAAGGAGGTCAAGTTTAGACTTTATTTCCTTAAATCAGTTTCATCCTAATATATCCAGCCATGGACAATTTAACTCCTGTTTCTTTTTTCTTCATCAATTGCCCTCATGTGTTCCTCCAAATGACTTCCTTTTTTTTTTACTTTGCCTAGATGTACATATATTTATTTAAAAGTTTCCGTTTTAATAATGATAGCAGATAATAGCCTCTAGAATGTCACCCGAATGGCCCAGTTAGCATAGACATTTTTCAGGAGCTCAGGGTAAGTCATCTGAAGTTCTAAAAATACTTTCTTCCAAACAGCATAATTACATGAAAATGTTTCATGTTGTGTGGCAAATACAAAGACTCAGAGACCCAAGGATAAACCAGGTGTCATCTTAGAGGAAGGCTTGAATCTTCTTGAAAAATATTATGTTTTTTTAAAACGACTTTTCTTCCAGGAGAATTGAAATTACAGAGAAAATCTTCCATTCATTACCTGTCTCTTTGTCCTCTGGGAGAAGTCTCTCTTTATATACATTGCTTCACCTGTTACTACAGGCATAAAATAAATTAATATCAAAATATAAACTCTTGGGGTCTTTGTAGAAGATGGCGGCAGAGTAAAAACACTGAGATCACTGTGTCCAGGCTTGCATAGGAATTGAGGACTGAAAACAAACTATATACGTACTTACTACGAGTTTCAACACAAATGAAAACACCCTGGACTCACTAGAAGGTAGATAACTGAGGGGGAATCAGTGATTGGGGAGTTCCCATAAGGGAACTCCGTGAAAAGCCAGGCGCCTGGAAGTTTGGCGGGTTGCAGGAGCCGCTTTGCCCCATGCTTGTCAGGACC